AAATCAAATTTGCCTTTCTCAAAAGAATCGCCACGGAGTTCTCAATTACAGTCGCCAGATACTGTACACACAACATGAAGTATAGATGATGCAGCTACGGTGGGTCAGCCCCAAGTGATAGGCTCACACACTTGCAAATCCGAGATGATAGGTCAAACACAAATCACACATCGAATTCACAGCGAAACTTCAATGGAAACTTCAAACTTTGAAAACCCTGTCACTCACTGATACACAAGATGCAAATGAGAGTCGAAAAAAATTGCAACCTTCACATGGTACAAAATCTCCTAACAACAACTCCGTCTCCTCCTCTCCCTTGAGGATGATCTTGCCCTGAACATCGAAGTGTTGCTCCTCAAGGACGTGTTGCTCCTCACCACGAACACAATTTCAGGGCCCCAAACAGACTATTAGAGGCCCTGGGCCACTATTCTACTAAAAAAGGAATGGAAGTCGTCAACTACCCAATAGCGCTTGCAGTTGTCCTACTACACAAGTATGACCGCCTTCTTCTTTGGGCATGTATTTTCCTCCGACAGCAGTCCACTGTACAGTTTTGCAAACCTAGCACCACGCGACTGAACCCTTTTTCCCTTCTTCTTCTTCTTCTTCTTCTTTTTCTTCTTCTTCTTCTTCTTTTGAACATGACCGGGGTCCCTCTTAGGAGAGGTGATATGAGCATCCCCTCTTACGAGTGAACCCTGCAAAATGGATCCTGAAGTGTCGTTTCCCGGGGCCACTTCCTCTTTTCCCCCTGGAACCCTCTGGGCCACTTCCTCCTTTGCCCCTGGAACCCTTTGGATTCTCCCTGGACAACACACTTAGGCTACAAGTGGTACTAAGCATTGACTTCACTTGTGTACAAAAACAGGTCCCCGGTTCAAGACTCCACAGGCACAGCCAACGCAATACAAGCACGGTACGCCAACAGGTAAGGGCACAAGCAAGTCAACATTAGGTTCGGGGTTCAAAGTTGGGCATCGACACTAAGGCATACAACAGAGGACAACAGACGACAACACGAACAACAACAGGTCCCGGGATAAAATCATGGAGGAGAGGTGTTGTAGCGGACCTCGGGTTGGCCTGTGAGACCAGCCCTTTGGCCTGTTCTCACAGGCCTGTGTTATATTCGGGGTAGGCCAGTCCAGGCCGGTACCTCTGTCGGTACCAGCCAGTCCAGTCCAGTCCCGTCAGTCCGCTTGGGTATACCCCAGCCATTGTCTGTTTTCATTCTCATTCCTCACTTGCACATTTTGGAGTACGTGCGTTGGAGTCTTGCGTGGGGAGCTGCGTTGTGCCATCTTGCTCCCCCTTCTTCCTCCATCTCCATCTCTGTCACTAGCGGAGCACCACACCTGGTGGGTCCGCTACAGGTGTGGGAAGGCGAAACAGGTCCCGGGATAAAATCATGGAGGTGTAAGAAGGTGAAATCCTTTCATAATAACAAAAAGGGACATGCAACGATGTGCCAGGGGGTTGTACTCGAGTTGCCTAGGGGATTGTCATAGGTAAGACCTTGGCTTGGCCATTAGACCCTGCCTATGATAGCATGAGGAAAACCAGTCTGATTTCATAGGGTGAGCCCGCTACTGAGTTTTGGGGGACATCCAGGGTTTCCCACGGGCCCTGCAAAGGATAAATGTATATGCCTAGCGTCAGAAGTACTTGTATGGCAGGGCTTGTCCAAACATGCTTCAACAAGGACTCGATAATAGGATCTCTGCTCAGAACTGGTGCCTGCAACCGGTCATCCCACCTGGAGAGGGAAGGGGTGACTGTCCTGAATGATAGTCACTGAGGTAGGATGGAGGGAGTGGGGGTGCTCCAGGGAGAATCATCAAGAGGAGGTGGTGAGTGGTGGGTCACATGTGAGAGAGAACAAACAAACAAGAAGGCGCTTGCAAGATCCTGGAGGTCCCCTGGCCTTGTTCAGTTGGTCCCCCCATGACTTGTTCAAATACAGACCTCTGTTCAAACCCAAACTGAACTTTCTGTTTTCGTTTTTTTAAAGGGCAACGGTCTTGAGATATCATCATCGAGTCTCGCGTACGTTCCTAATATGCTTTATAATATGTTATGTGATGGGACGCTGGGCCCAGTTCCCAGCACGTGCTGCTCCCCACAAATTGATTGGAGCATTGTCTTTCAAAAAAGTTAAAAAAAAACAAAACAAGAAAAAAGATATCATCATCAAGTTGACTGGCCCAAGGTAATTCAGAATCATTTCATTGCATTCATCAACGTCCATCAGGATTCCAACTCGGGTCCGCAATTCAACAGTTCATGGGTGTACCAACTGAGCTAGGCTCGTTCGTAAACTGAAGTTAAACCACCAGTAGTTGGCCCAGCTATTGGCTGTGGAAAACAATGAGTAGAAACATTTCTAGTGGGATGAATTTGGGCGCTCCTGTAGTGGCCCGTACGTTTCCTTAAATTGTGGCTTGTTAACGGGCACTACAGTAGGAAGTACTGGTGGTTTAACTATATAAACGAAGTTTTTTTTTTTTTTGTTTTTGTTTTTTTTTGTTTAAGCTATATTCTTCTCTCAATTTCACCTCACACTACCTACCTACCACTACTCCTAATTGTAGGCATATGGGGAACCCCGGGGCCAAGTCCCACTTACCCGGATCCTCCATTCTCGACCGTAGATCGTGAAAATCAACGGCTAGAAATGAAGAATCCGGTCAAGTGGGACTTGGCCCCCGTAGAGCCAGAACCGTGTTCATGAATTTCTTGGGGCTGGTCAGTTTATTATGGAATTGGTGATTAAACAAAAAACAAAACAACATGGAATTTGTGAATTCCTTGGAGCTCGTCAGTAAGCTTGACGACGCTATCTTCTTTTTTCTTTCCTTCCGTCTCTCGGGGGACAACCTTGAGATATCGTCGTCATCGAGCTGACTGGCCCCAGGCAAGTCAGAAATAGTATTCTATTTCATTCATCGGGTTCCATAGTCTGGATTTGAACTTGGGTCTGGCCTTCAAAACTTCATGGTTGTACCAACTGAGCTGGGCTGGGTGGTTGCCCTCCATGCTCAGACTCCCTGGATAATCCTAGACGGTCCTCAGACATTCTCTGACATTATTTGTTGTAATATGGGACGCTGGACCCGTTCTCCAGCAGGTGATGCTGCCCACCAATAGATGGAGCCTCCCCCTAGGTGTTAGTGGTGCCTGCTCTTATCAGCAGCACTAACACTGGCGGGGGCGTTTTTTTTTTTAAAAAAAAAAAAAAAAAGCTGGGCTGGTTGGTGTTTGACGACCATATTCCCTTTTTTTTTTTTTTTTTTTTTTTTCCGGAACGACCATAATTACCTCGGAGCCTCTTTTCACGGAGGTGGGAAACTGTGCGCCAAGCTTTGCCAAAGAGCCAACGCAGCATTTTTCATTGACGACCATTTTGGCGGGCCCGGCCAGACATCTTGTCCAGAAGAATACGTGTTTCGAGTTTGCCTGTGAAAGGTAGTCGTGATTCAAACCATCAGTACTTCGGGGCCACTTTTCTCCGGGGACGGAAATGCCCTGCGGGCCAAAGGAAAAGGGCCTCCTTTTGGCTGAAGCCGCTAGCCATTTTGCTCATACGACCGTGCTCCCAGAGTTGCATAAGCATGCAAGCCGCAACTTGGAAAAAATAGCTGGGAAACGTACTGGTGACCCCTGCAAGCATAGCTTACCTCTCACAAATCGTGGGGATTCTTTCTCCTTTGCTAGCTTTCCAGCCCGGGCGCACAGGGTACCCCACCATGCCCGGAATGGCGCCCGGGGTGCCCGGCCGGGTGACCTCCCCGAGCAGCCACCCGGGTGCCTCTCTCACCAAGGCAGAAAAAAACGCAATTTTTTTTTTCGTGCCGCAGCCCTATTCCAAATGTGCCAACTTTGTCTTTGGCGGTCGGCGCGTTTTTTTTGGGGGTCCGGTAGGCCCCGTTTTGTAGGTTTTTATTTTTTGGGGGGATTCTGGCCTTCGATCTGCATAGCCCGACGGTGCAAGCTGATACAGGATTCAAATTTGCCCCCTCCTGCACCCCCTCCCTTCCCTCAACCCACAGATATCAAAATGCATGAAAAAAAAAAAAAAGAGGCCGGATTTGGGCACTACTCCCAAAGCGCAGCAAGGTCTGGCGGTTAAAAAACAAACAAACAAAAAAACACTGGGTGGGTTTTTTGCATGCCCAGGGTACCCCGGGCGTGGTCCCTACCCAGGTGGGGTGCCCGCCCGGCCGGGCGCCCCGGGAGAGCTAGCTCCTTGGGACCCCTGCAAGCATAGCTACCTCTCACAATCAAGCGGATGCGCGTTGCCCCCCGCCCTTAGAAAGTGGGTGGGGCCGACACCCGGAGGTCCCGCTAACAAAAAGACCAAGCATTTTGCAAGTACCTGCGCCTCCCATTTACGCCCCCCGCACCCATCGGGTAACATCTCAAGGCCCTCGTTCCAATTTTAACGGATGTCCCGAAGGACCCCTCGCCCTTTTTCGAAAGGGGAAAAAACGCAAGCTCCCTGTTTTCTTCCGGGCCTTCCACTCCCGCACCCCACGCAAGGAAAGAGATAATAAAAAGCCCCCTGGTTCTTGGTCTTGGACATAACCGGTAGGACTTGCAACACGTCACGTCATCCGCATTGGCTCCTCCTTCTTTTTTTTTTTCCCCTAATTGCTTTCTTTTCGGGATAATTTGCGAAATACCCCCATAAGTTGAGATTCATGCCAAAATGCCCCTGAAAGATGTGGGTAGAGCGGAATGCTCCTTGGGCCGAAATCTTTTTGTCAGAGGGACATTCCGGTCTACCCACATCTTTCAGGGGCATTTTGGCACATATCTCAACTTATGAGGGTATTTTGCGAATTATCCGTCTTTTTGGATACTGGATTGCCTCTTCCTACCCACCGACGAGCTAGTTTTTGCCACGTAGCCCGTTACGTTGGGGGGTTGTATCATAAAGGGGAGAGGGACAGGGAGGTAAATTCACTGGGGGGAAATTCGGGGCCGTAGTGGCGGCATAAAACACAAAGAAAGACAGAAAAAGAAAGCCAGAGGGAGGTAGTGAGTGCTGGGCTGCGTCGAACACCTTCACTCCAACGGAAAAAAAAAAACAAAAAAAAAAGGAACTTCACTCATTCCGCGTATCACCTTATCCATTCTTTTTATTTTTATTTTTATTTTTTTCCCAAATTTTATTCGTTTGATTCAATAGCCCAACCTGTCCATTACTTCTTCTTCTTCTTCTTATTCTTCTTCTTCTTAGCTGGTGTGAGGTTGGCTATGTCCGTGGAATCCGCCATAGCCAAAGGAAGAAGAAGGAATTGACTATTGCTGGCATGGCTGCCACGTCATCAGTAGCCGTGCCATCCGTCGTGGTAGAGAGAGGGAGTGGAGTAGATGGGAGGAGAGACTGTAGAGCTGCCACGTGTACGTATGGCGATGGAAGAAAGGGTATGTTGGCAATGGGCGAATGCGGCAGCAGTCGCCACGTGGCGCAAGTTTGCCCGAGCGCCACGTGGCGCTCAGACAGAAGCAGACGCATGACTTGTTCTTCGGCGTCCTTAACCGCTGGCTATGGTCGTTTGGCTTCGACGTCCATGCGAGTGAGTATTTTTTTTTTTTTGACACCGAGCTCGAGCAGAGAGCGGGCTACCTGTGCCCTCTTCCAAACTCCTTACCCTCTGCTTCTGCATTTGAACCTCCTTAGCGACATGGACTCATGTATATCTCTCCTTCTCTTTACCTCCTCTCTCTCTCTCTCTCTCTCTCTCTCTCTCTCTCTCTCTCTCTCTCTCTCTCTCTCTCTCTCTCTCTTCCTGCGCAGTCGAAAGGCCCATCCATGTCTGGCTGGACTGCAAATACTGTAATATATCTATCAAGCAAGCAACTTCTCTGAACCCAGCCATCGATCATCAACCAATTACGCAATCGGTGAATCAATCAATCACTTGATCAATCAATCAATCATTCAATTAATTCATCAACGAACTAATCAATCAACCAATCAATCGATCAGCTAATCAATCAATCAGTTAATGCATCAATCAGGTAATGCATCCATCCATCCATCCATCCATCCACCAACCAATCAATCAATCAATCAATCAATCAATCAATCAATCAATCAGTTGAGCAATTGAGCAATCAATTAAAAAATCGAGCTAATTAAGGAATCAGTCGATCCGTCATCCGACCATCCTACGCTATCTAGGTAATTGCAATCAAGGTAAGTGAGCAATCGATTGATTAAAAAAATTATCAACCAAGCAACTAAGAAGAATCACTGGAGGAAGAAGCAATCTGTCAGCTAACCAAGCCAAGCAATAAAGCGATCATGCAATTAATTGACCAAGCGGTGATACCACCAATCAATCAACTAATTGATCTGTGAAGCAGTCGTGATGAGTATCGATTGCTGAATCCATCAATCAAGGCATCAAACTGGAAAAAGCTATAAAATAAAAATATTCTAGCCCGGCAACCAGCCAGGCCTCTATCAAGCAAAATGGTGCCTTGCCGGATAACCAATTAAGCAATCGAGCAAATGACGCTGCCTTGCTGGACAGCCGATCAATCAATCAATCAATCAATTAATCAATCAATCAATCAATCAATCAGTCGATTAATCAATCAATCAATCAATCAATCAATCAATCAATCAATCAATACATTAATCAATTGATCAATCTTATTTTTATAATTTATTATATAGTGAAAGTGCAGAAAAAACTTAAAAAAAGGGAGTTTCTTTTTTCCTGTTTTTTTCGATCTCCGTTGTGATTACATTCGGTAAAGACTTTCCATTTTCTTCTTTTCGTCTGGTAGCCCTCGCCCACATTGCTGAACGATACACCATTAAACTGTTAATAAACAGACCTGAGTTCGAGTCTCTCTCTCTCTCTCTCTCTCTCTCTCTCTCTCTCTCTCTCTCTCTCTCGCTCCCCACTTTCCTCTCTCTCGTCCCCCCCCTCCTCCCTCCTCTATTCCTAGCCCAAACAACGTCCTTTTCTCTCTCCCTCCTCCTTTCTCTCTCTTCATTTCCTACCAGGTTCTACTGGCCATCTACATCGCCCTGGCTGTTCGGCATTGTTGCAGGCAAGGTGGTCGCATTTGAATAAGTCATGGGCCAGCAGCCGATTTCCCTGCTGTCGTACAAAGCTGGATGGAAGGATGGAGATGGGAGAGAAAGCAGCATGTGGTCATCGAAGATCTAGGGGTGTTGTTTTTCTGCGGGCCTCCATGACGAATGCTGTGCAGGAAGGTGAGGGTGGAGCAGTGTCTGAGCGGCCATTCATCCCTGCGGGAGATCACATGGTCCGCTGTATCTCAACAGATGCAGAGGTGAGTATCGTGAACCATAGCTACTCGTTTGGCTAATGAAAATTAGGTTGAGTTATAGAGCCTCTCAAGTGTTGTAGGTCTAGGTCACTGGCGACTACGTTGTTGTAGTAGATAAGACGAGCTGGCTCTACTCAGCCTGAAGAAACAACTCCCTTGGATTCTCGAGTTGATGTAACCCAAACGTGCACAGTATGGATGTGTGTGTGTGTGTGTGTGTGTGTGTGTGTGTGTGTGTGTTTTAACGGTGTGGATCTTACGTTCAAAGACCTGCACAGAATCAGTCTGAGATTTATGCTGTTTTCTGAGTATTGCTGCTTGCTGTTCTGATTTGCTGGGTTTTCCGCGTTCTGCGTGAGTTTGCTGTTTGCTTGCTAGTCTGATTTGCTGAGTTTTCCGGTGTTCTGCGTGAATTCGCTGTTTGCTTGCATGCTTGCAAGTCCTTGTGTGATCATTGCTATGTGAAGTACTAACTGTGTGCTTGCCCTGTGTTTTCTGTGTCTTCTGTGTCCTGGAGGGAGCAAATATAAAAAAGGGAAGCACAGGGGCAAGACTGAAATTGGGGACTGGAATGACTGCTAGAAAGGCTAGGACGGACAAGGACAGAAGTAGAATTTCGGTAGTACCTGGCAAGGATTTTCCGGCAACTCGGGTCGGCCCAGGAGTAGTCCGATAGGCCTAGAAGGACCCGACAGCTTCCAAAAGGTTACGAGTAGTCAGGGCCCGAACCTAGATGTCAGGTAGGTCAGATTCATGCTGCCCAGAAGTAGACTTGCATGCTGAAATGCTGTTCTCACCGAAAGGCAGGAAGTACCGGTAGGTCTAGTACCCTGGAGAAGCAGCACTACCACAGCGTAAGCGAAGCTGTGAGGGCGAGTTGGAAGAATATATCATTCGGGTACAATGAGTGAAGCGGTATCTTACCTGGCAGTCATGCTGCTGCTCCGCCCATAGGGTGAGGGTAGGCGGAGCTCCTGCTGAGCGGTAGGGCTGGAGGGTGGAGAATAACACCTCCCTGGCTAGGGAGGAGGAGCAGTAGGGAGGGACTAAGCCTTGGCTATGGAGGTAGAGGGTGAAGCGCCCTATGCCAGGCTGGTAGGGTATAGAGAAGGGTGAGAGAGGCATGAAGAGGATGTGGAAGAGGAAAGAGAGAGGAGCCGACATGAGGGACTCACCTGTGGCTATGGTTGACCTGTATCTCCACTTCCTTGGTTGGCGCTGCATTTAGAAGGCCCCTGTGTGGTCTTCGACTTCATCTGACAGCACGGCTACGACGGAATGATATGGGAGAGGCATAGTCCAGGTTGCATTGTCCTTTGAACATCTGTGATGAGCATGTATGTTTCCCCATAGTGATAATTGCAACCGAGGAAAGAGAAGCGAGGTTATGGCCGAAAGGAGGGCTCTTTGAGTGCTGGCAATAAGGCGGAATACTCGGACATGATTCCTGATCATTCATTTATTTGTTGTTGTATTTAATTGTTTACAAATACAGACATGCAGTGACAGAATGGCAGAAACACTGAGAGGCAGCCAAATTGGCACAAAAATACAGGCCAGCTGATCGACTGACAGTCATGGAGGGGAGACTGACTGACTGGGATTGCAGACTGACAGACAGACAGACAGGTAGACAGGAGGGTTCCGACAGATCCGGCTGGTCCTGACCGGTCGTGGGACCAGCAGACATATCGTAGATAACCAGACAGATTGAATCAAACAATTGGTCATGCAGTTTGTTTGTCTATCCCTCCCTTTGTTTGTTTGTCTATCCATCCCTTTGCCTGTCTGTTTGTGTGGCTGTGTGTCAGTCTACCGGGGTACCTGTCAGTCTGTTTGACTCTTTCGGTGCGTCTGTCTGGCAGTCTACGAGCCCATCTGTCAGTCCGTTTCTCTCTCTCTCTCTCTCTCTCTCTCTCTCTCTCTCTCTCTCTCTCTCTCTCTCTCTCTCTCTCTCTCTCTCTCTCTCTCTCTCTCTCTCTCTCTCCCCCTTCCCCCCGCCACCCTCCATATGTGTGTGTGTGTGTGTGTGTGTGTGGGTGGGTGGGTGTGGGTGTGTGTGTGTGTGGGTGTGGGTGTGGGTGTGTGTGAGTGTGGGTGTGTGTGTGTGTGTGGGTGTTTGTGTGGGTGTGTGTGTGGGTGTGTGTGTGTTCTCATATTCGCTATACACTAAAAAAAAGCATGACTGTGCCAAACTGTTCTGTTGGGCTTTCACCGACTCATCAGGAGGTTGAAACCTGACAGTCTGCTCGGGATGCATTTGACTGAAGGATAAGGACTCACCACATCGCCCAGAGTTAGCGATACCCCTGAGAAAAGTGGTAGATTTTACTCACACCAACCATGCAATCCTGGTGTGTGAGTGTGTGAGTGTGTGTGAGTGCGGTACGCCTTCTGTCTCTCTGTTGGGTCAGTCTGTCTGCCAGTCGGTCACACAGTTTGTCGATCTGTCTGCCAACTTAGTCAATTAATGAGTTTTCATTGCTTCTGGACCCTGCTGCCCATGGTTTTTGAAGAATTTTCTTGTAATGGCCCGCAACTGCTCATGGAACCACACTAGACTGGGCCCAACCGGTCGTGGGACCAACACCTGGCTGGGCCTGTGGCCGGTCGCGGGACCACACCAGGTTAGGCCCACAACGTTTTCCTAGTGTCTCAGCATGATACACATAGCTACGCAAGACCCGAGTGTCCCTTTCCGTACTGGAATGGTGAACGGGAATCAGGCTTACTTCATGAACCAACTGTCGAGGCACAAACCGAGCTCAGTTCAATTACTAAGGGTAGAACGGAGAAGATATTCTTCGATCTTTGACGTGGTCTAACGGACTCTAACCCCACTGCTTGATTGAATAATGTTGCACCTCCTCAGTCGAGGAAACTTATCCCCCCCCCAAAAAGGATTGACAATTTTGCAGAGCAAACTTCACGGCTTTTATTTAATTTCAAAATTTGTTCTCTTTTTTAAGTTTTTTTTTTTTAATTTAAAGATTGAACCTCTTGTGCTGACTCCACTTTCGTGCATTCTCTTGGCCCCTTTCCCTCCCCGTCTGTCTCTCTCTCCCCTTCTTTCTTCCGTTTTTCCTGTTCTGTGTGGATGGTGAGTTGTGTTTTCAGCTCTCTGTTTTTGGACTGGTTGCGACCGATCTGGTGGATGAGGCTCAGCGCAGACATGTCTTGTCCCCGACGGTAAGGAGGCAACCACTGGCTGAGAATTAGCTAGGGATACTATGGACAGTCTTTTTGAATTTCTTCTTCTTCTTCTTCTTTATTTTTGTTTTTTATTTATTTCTATTGCAACGGGCTTGCTGGGTTGGTGAATGTTGATTAAAGTGGCTGGGTTGGAGGCAAAAACTAGAGGGTTTGATGGACAAGAGGAGACAGAAGTAAATAGGCAGGCAGCCTGTTTCGATATGATACTAAGTTACTTACGGGCCTAGCTCAGTTGGTACACCCATGAACTGTTGAAACTTGAAATACAGACCCAAGTTCGAATCCAGATGCAACCAGATGAACAGAATAACATAATTCTGAATTAATATCTGGGGCAGTGCTGAAAACCCTGTAGGACCGTGGGGTCCTCCCCCAACCGGAACCGGACCGGTCCTACCGGCCGGTCGACCGGGCCGGTTCCCCCCCGGTTGGCTGTAGCGCATCTTTCTTTTTTTAGCCCATGGTGTTGTTGAGGCCAAGGACTAGACCCACAGTGATTGCTGGCAGCGGCAGCCGGTGGTTGTCCTGACAGGATAGGCCACCTTCCCTACCCTTCCCCACGTTAATGCCCCCAGCGCACCCCCTATCCCTACTATCCTACCTCAGTGTCAGGACCATCGCCCTACCAGTATCGAGGGCAGTCACCAGACAGCAGTGACAAGC